TACGATAAGGTCGCTAAAGAGGCTTGCAATGTAAAGGGATACTTTCCTTAATCGGCTTGCCAAATTACCTATACGGGCTAATAAATCACCACTAACGTCTAGAAAGTGTGATTTTCAAACACGTTAACTTTGTACAAAGGTAAAAGAAGTCTGCTTTTTTGTGCCTAAGAGTATTACTCTTTATCAGTCTATGGTAAAAATTAGATTTCCTATCGCTTTCAAATTGGATCAAGAAGTGCTGCCAAAAATTCAGTCACCGCGTCTTCCACCTTAAGTGCTTCAACTCCACCGATCACCACAAAGCCGGTGCAAGGTCTAAGTAAGCTCAAACACCTACTGTAGAATCTTCGGGTTTGTATTAGCGAATCACATAAAACTAGAGTGGAAAAGCTTCTTCGGTGATAAAGTTAATCGGGTCAGGCGCAAGCCCTCAAGAGGGTGGAGGAATGAACACCTCAATTAGGCAGCGTCTCCGAGGCCTACTGGTCCTAACATGAGTACAACAATAGCGAAGTAATAGTACAATATAGCGAAAGGACCAGCAGTCCGCGGAGGCGAGGCCTAATTGAGGTGCTCGTTCCTCTACCCTCCCCCCCCCCTCAAAAGGTTAGGGCGCCTGAGCTTTTGTAGCCTTGCGTCTGAACCCTTTAACATGTCTTCAAAATCCAGAATCGCTCCATTCCTGGTATGAGTATTGAGCTCACGGATCCTTCTTGCTACAGTGAAAATTTCGAGCCATACACTCGAGCTTTAGGGAAATTGAGTATTTCAATAAACCCATTCAGATCAAAATCAACCGTCAAATTGAATGTAAAGTGCAATCACAGAAGATTGGGCATACAGATGTCAAGAATCCAAAAGCTCTTTAGAAAAAATGGCATCCTCCAGAATATTGCTCTCTGAGGTTGCGGAGGTGAAAAGAAGCAAGAAAGGTCGTCTGGGGCTCAGAGAAGAGGAGGGGGGGGGGTCGTTTCTGAAAAGATTGTGCCTGACCTCTTGGTCATTCTGGATATAACTGTTTCATGGCTTTAAATTCTATGGGACGGTAGTGAACCTCTTGAAACTCAGAGTTATATTAAGGTTAACTCTGAGTTATCTCTGACTTAACGTGCAGCTTTTTGACCTCCTTAACAGGTGCTTAGACAAACCAAATCTGGAAAGCGATGATAGGCAGTATACTTTGTATCAGGTAGTTTATTTCTAGTGGAGCAACATTGTCCCAATCCTTCTGCACAAGAAACAGCGTCACCAAACGTGCAACTGAACCTTGCCATAACTCCAAGTTTGGTGCGCATTCCAGTCTATCGTGGAACTCAGAGGTAACTCTGAGTTTGGTCAGAGAAAGAGAATTAGTGCACAAAAGAAGAGATGCAGCTAAAAAATTCCTTTTAGCACATTTTGCTCGTAGTTTCAGCAGGCATGTTGGGGGTATCGTGGCGCACACTAATTTACAAAATTTTGAAGTCTTGTAAAATCTTGGCCTAGAGGGTTATTCGATGGGCTGATCACGAGTATGGAATTCATTTTATACCGGGCTGGACATCTGTAGAGGTAAGGTAGGTTTACGATAGGTAAGCTAAAGTGGCAGAATTAGCTAATTGGTCACTGAGGTTATCCGGGGCTCAAATCACGGACCTGCTACGTATGTTGGTGCCATTTAGTGCGATTACGGTAGGTATACGGTAGTGGGCCAAATCAAAGAATAGGAGCAAACTGTGTCCGGAGGGTTTATACTATAGTTAGCACCGAGTATTCGTGTTCGAATTATTTATTCGAAATATTCGACTATTCTAATATTCGAACAGTCGAATATTCGAGAAAGTCCATTTATTCGTTTATTCGAATAGTCGAATAAATGGAAAAGGCCTGTATTCGAAAAATTCGTTAGTCGACGATTTGGAAAAATGAGTTATTCGAATATTCGTTTATTCGAGGAGTTTCAATACAGTTATTCGAATATTCGAATATTCGAGCCGACTTGAAAGACATTTATTCGAATTTTCGAATAATAGCAACCATATGGGTGGCTTGCAGGTGAGCAGATAATCGGGGCAGATGATTATCAGCCATCTAGTTGTGATTACAAATATTTCCATATGTTTTACTCCCTTTCCAAGAGCTACTTGTGTATCCAAAAAAGAAGATCTCGCTAGAAAGAAGAACTTAACATCATTCAACATTTCTTGATCGTCCTGCCACAGAAAATTTATGAAAAGTTGATGTTTTCTGAATATTAGGCCTTTCATCCAAGTCCCCGCTTCACAAGATTCATTCAAAATAGAAGACTTCTCCCTCACTTCTCTCCTATTTGTCCGCAAAAAAGGTGTGCAAGCCACGTTTTCTCGACAAGAATTGCGCGGAAGATCGCCAAATCAACCACCCGTAACAGTATGTCTAGTTTTAAAAAATCACAAAGTTTCAAAACTTTCTGAGAAAGCCCTTTAAATTGGAATATTGTCAAAGTATGGATATGTAAAGTCCCTATAAAATCAAGACACCTTAACCCACAAAAACTAAAACGGGATTCTCTTGCGCTATCCGATCATATTTGGTGAATTCTGGGAGAAGGCACATGAGAGGCGAAGATACGCACAAAATCCAAGCATGTAAAGTCACCCGCGCTGACTTTTACGGATAATTTTACTGATGGCACGAAGTGATGTAATTGCCCCCCCCCCCCCCTCCCCCAATGTGCCGTACGCTTTGGCACCAAAGAGTTCTTGAGAGGTACTTTGTGATTATTGCCTTCGGCACCACACCAGCTCTAATTAATTTGAAATTATTACAGTAATATACAATTCCCTTCGCAAAATCTTCCTTGGGACAAATTTTGCAACACTTCCAATGTCATCTCAAAAGCGGTCGAATCATAAAATCGGATAAAAGATACACAGGAAAATGTCCCGGTTTTCAAATAACTTTGGCAAGAAAAATATTGATAACCTAATCCTAATTCCATACAAGTCGCCTGCAGACCCTTTTCAAAAAGAAAGGGTGCTCCATAACCGCCTGCAGTGCGTTATGCATAAGAGCTCTCTTAGGGCCGCATGCACTAACATGGCCGCGGGGAGGGGATCGCAGCTTAAAAGAAAGCTTCATATTTCGAAACTCCAAATACTTGCATTTCACGTTCTGTACCTACCCGTAAGTATTCATACTATCCTTCAATATGAACATGTTGAACAGGAGCGAGAAGCTGTACAAACCGCATCTTCCAGCTTTTGTATGATCCCTGATGATCCCCGGCGCTTTTCTTTAAAGTCATTTTTCTTTCTCCGAAGTTAACGAAGAACTTCCAAAGTTGTGCAAATTATCTAACCCAACAGTGCTAAGCATGTTGCTGATAAGAACAAATGATGTTTTGAAGTCATGAAATTTTCGATGATCCACAGGTCGAAATATGGGGTATAGCGAAAAATTCGATTTTTCAAAAATTCATTTGTTCTCATCAGCAACGTGCTTAGCACTGTTGTGTTAGATGTTCAGTATAAGTTTGGAAGGTTTTCGTTAACTTCGGAGAAAGAAAAATGACTTTGAAGAATAGATGTTCGTCCCCCAGGGATCATCGGGGGATCCTACAAAAAGCTGGGAAATGCGGCTTGTACAGCTTCTCGCTTCTGCTCAATATGTTCATAGTGAAGGATGGTGGGAGTACTTACGGAGAGGTAGACAGCGTGAAATCCAGATATCCGGAGCGTCAGGATATGAAGCTTTCTTCTGAAGCTGCGATCCCCTCCCCAGCGGAAATGTTAGTGCATGCGGCCCTTAGGATCCACCTACAGAACGAAATTTTGAGAAAAACGTCTGTGAGCCTCCTAAAGACCGATTGAAAAAAAACCTCAATCTTAGATGCCTTTCTTACCTCAAAGTGTTCATAATCTTGCATCTGCACCCTTCAACCCACCGCAGTCCTAGCAGTCCATTCTTGTCAATCACTCGCCTCATTCCGCAACTTGTAAGTGCAAACCTCTGCCATTTTTTATTATAGAATGATTGCGTTCTAATATTCGAATATCTGAATATTCAAATATTCGAATATTTGATGCTATCCAGTTATTCGATTATTCGAATAGTCGAATATTCGATCAAGTTCACTTACTCGATTCATTCAGAATTTTGGAATGTGCCCGTATTCGAATATTCGAATTAGATTAATATGAAAATCGGAAATCGAATAATATTCGTTCATTCAAAAAATTTTCGAAAATCAATTATTCGCTTCATTCTTTCAAAATATTTTCAAAATTCAATTATATCATATTCGGTTATTCGATCGAAAATTTCCGTTCGTTACAACTATAGTTTATACTGTGCGCAAATCCTAACAGTCCATTCTTATCAATGCGTATGTTATCCGTACTCTCCATTGTTTCAAGCTTTCATCTGCGCAAAAGATCAATCCGTGCAGAAGCATCACTCCTCGACAGAAATGAAAATGAGTGAGGCTTTGATATAACACGTTTTGACATGCTTTGTGTTTATGCAATGACTACATTATGGCAAAGTAAGCTTCATGCTTCAATGGTGTGTCGTGGTCTGGCGGTTCAATGATATGATTATTGCGCTAAACTGAACAGTTTCGAATCCCAGCTTTAATGTCACTTTTGCGGTGACCCGCATGACTGCGCATCGAACAGCACGTGGAAACTCCAACCATGAAAGGTGGAGCTCGGAACTTGATAAGCGGACAGCGTTTCAATAAGCGTAAGTCTAAGTTTCAAAAACGGAACTCAGAGTTATCTCTGAGTTAACGTCGAGCTTCAAACTCGGAGTTTATTGAAATTACTACCAACCATGACTTCATGCATATTTCTTCGGTGGCATTATTGCACACTCCCAGAACATAAGGGAAAAGAGATGATTTTGCTGTAGCTCTGAAGTGGGTGAATTGCTTGTATGTAGCTTTTGAAACTGCGAACATCTTAACATTTTGAGACATTTTACGAAGAAAGTCGCACAAAGTGGATATCAGATATTTATATTTGAAGAAAACAGCTCACATTTTTAATTTCTAGGTTGCAGGTTCCGTTTGTAGGGCAGAGATGGTGATCGTAAATATCACGCCATGGACACAGGCACTGTGAAAGTGAAATAGTTGCCGATGGCGTCACAACTAAATAGATTTTTTGACGCATATATTTCTAGATAATCTGAGATTATATTTGCTGCTTTCACAGATCCATTACTTTCATTTGTCCATAGCTTCTTTATTTAACATGAAAAGGTTATCAGAAAGTAGAACATGAAGTCTACCACGTACTTGATTGCTTTAAAAGTATTTAATGTGTTCCATAGTATAACTAGACTTTTCTGAGCTACAACTTGATTCAAAAAAGTACGGTTGCTGTCACAAGTATGTAAGCTTAATAATTTATGCTAGGCAAACAAATATAGGGTTGTGCCTGAAGTGAAGGACACTGAGTTTGCCTTTGCTCATGCAACAAAACTTTCTCAGGCTTACTCTCCTGTCGGACGTTTCTCCAGGTCAGATAAAGTGGGTGTATGTCAAGAGGCGCGATTTTTATTGCCAGATGGATAACAAATAGCACATAATAAGTGTTTTCTAACTTTCTAAATTTATTCAGATTTTAGAAGGAGGTATATCCGATAGCTGCATGGGTCGTTCAATCTTAATACCTTGGAATCGAATCAAAACAGCAATTTTGAAGGTCAAAAACCCATGAAAATGCAGTTAGGAGCAAACTCGTAAATATTTCGATCCGTTTCCCAGCAAAAGCCATCAAACTCAGCAAGTGGTAACCTCAGACAGATAGTAAGCTATTGCAATTTATCTGGTAATTTTTGAAGAATCGCATGGCATGAAACTGGGGTTGTAAGTTGGTGACAGCCAGAGAAATCGCGCCTCTTGACCGTCTCCCAGATAAAGTTGACTGCACGGAATCGTCCGAATCGCCGCAGGGTAAACTCCCGCGAGGGTGTCTCTTGCGGGTAACATTGGCATCCACGCCCAAGAAACATCACATTCAGTACCCGGGAGCCGCTCGGTCACTCTTGCCTGCGCACAGCCTATAGCGATACGGGTAATTTCGCACAGTCGATTTTATCTATTTTCAATATTTCAAGGATTTCAAGGGTTTACAGTGTTCGCATCGTTTTTTAAAGTGGCTTAAGGCCTTCTGTCGTCCTGCATAAGCAATGTAAGCAACCGCTGTGGTCCCAAAATTGCCTACTGTAAATAACCAGCATAGAGTACTGCTACAAGGCTCTTGTCTATTACGCTACCCGCTTTTATCAAGAGGTAGCAAAACATGGAAGAAACAGCATTCACTGTTTAGACTAATCAGTTTTTTGCTGGATCATATGTATCCTTTATGCTATGGCGCTCCCAAGACTTATATTCGGGGGCGGAGGGAGTGGGGGGGGGGGAAGAGAGGCAAAAAACAAAAAAATTCTTTGTTTGGTGCTTGACATCAGCCGCGCATTTCGAAAATGTTTTAAGGTCCTTCCCAAATTGCAGACCAGAAATTTCAAAAAAGAAGGCGTGGCTGTGGCTACGCTTCCAAGAAACTTTTTTACAAGGTTGGCTTAAACGAAAAGTGAAAATCATTTCTATTATCTACAAGCATAAAGGAATCACACAATTTTATGACTAGCGTAAGTATCTTTCAATTATTTCGCGATCCATTTTCGGAGCACTCCCTCCCCTTTCCCCCCCCCCTCCCCTTTCCCATTCCCTTTTTCCTCGGTCCTCCACTGCTTCTAGCAAGAAAACTGCAAAGTTTTGGCAACTGGCAAAGACTACTTCGAATGTTTTTGCATTTTGCAGTGGTCCCAATCTTTCTTTGTATGAATGTGAGTGTTTACGATAAAAATATTTCTAACTGTCATTTTCATTGTCATTAATGCATAAGTCTTTTCATAAAATGCTGCAACACTCAAAAACATACGGAATTGATAAAATTTTTAGTTAGAAACCGAAAAAATTGACAGCTATTGTCTACAGCAAGTGTTGTGAGCATATTGTCAACAAGTCTATCTCATTGCAGCAAAAACTTCGGGAAAGACAGCAACAAAGCATCATTTAGCTTTGCCACTATATACTGCTCAGGAACTCGCACCGTGCCGGCGGCCAGCGACGAACTTACAATCGCTCGTCGGTGTGTGCGATTGTACTGTCGTCGAGGGCCGTTGACACGGTTAACGTGGGGCGCCCGCACGGTTTCTAATGCTCGCCGCTTGCGCAGGGAAGGTGGGGCGCTCACTTGCCGTTGGAGTAAATTATAGATATCTTGACCATTTTTCTTGAATATGTTAATCCTTTCCACATTCTGAGACCACGGTTCGATGCCTGCAGCATTGGCCAAACTTTTCAAGGGGTAGCCCACACCATCACTCTTGATGGATGTAGCCTCACACAGGTTCCCAGCCTTGCTGGTAAAGGAAAATGTTGTTGATGCGAAACGTTGACGTTTAGCCGGCCCACACGCTGCGTCGTATCTCAGGCAGGTACCGTTGATGCTCAGGGCCCGGCACGAGGTCGGCAAATGACAAGCTGGAAATCGTTTTGGGGCCAAAAAGCAAAGGGGAAATCGTTTTTGTCGGGTCCGGGGCGGAGCCCCGGAAAAAATTGGTAGTTCATGCTCGCTACTTATCTTGACATGTTATGTGCCTCAACAGGCGAACACTTGGAGTTCGCGCGCGTCAAACCGCGCCGTCGCTAATTGCCGCACGCGCGACGTCGCCCAAGCGATGCTATTTGTAACAGCATACATGACTAGTTCTCAATGTATGTGCAACGATATGACACCAAATTTTGTATGCGAACGGAGAGAGGCTAGTGGAAACATAGTATGAAAAATTATGAAAAACTTATGTGAACGGAACGAGTAATTAGCATTTTTTCCGAGAATTTCGCAAAACTGGTAAATGAAGATGTGAATTCAAACGGCTCGTTTAAACGCGCAGATGAACGATATGGTATGAAACTTGGTAAGTAAATGCACACGGGCGTGCAGGGCTTAACTGAGGAGTTTCATTGAAAAATTATGTGACTGAAGGTTGTGGCAAACTTTTATCTGAAAATTTTGCGCTACCAAAGAAATGGAAAAATGGCTCGTTTGCAACGCAGAGGTAACGAAATCGCGCGGGATTCGGTGTGTATATGCGCAATAGGACTAAGTAACAAAGTATGAAAAATTATGAAAAACTTATGTGAATGAAGAGTTTCCTTAACTAATTTCCAAATTAGGTCGGCATTTGCCGACCTAATTCCCACCTGAGGTCGGCAAAACTCTCAATTCACATAATTTTTTCAAAATTTTTACATAAATCTGTTGTACACCTAAAGTTTACTACATGGTGAAATTTTGGTTCCAAAACTCCTCCTCTTGTCCTTGTTAGAGCCCAAAATCGCATCAGCAGCCTAGCTTTCTAAGATGGAAAGCGCGCCCCAGTCAATCGATACGCGCGGGAACGGCGTCTCTCATTCCTATGACTGCGTTTCTTTGATATTTTCTCATTCCTTAATCATTTTTCTTGCTTATTTTTCTTCCTGTTTCCTATCTTGATACAGCTGAGGAGTAATTTGAGGAATTTGAGCAATTTGGGCGCTTTTGAGCGCTTTTAGGCGAAGTGTGGCCGGTAATCTCGTCGCACAAGCACAGAACGTCATTTTTGGGCTCAAGGGGGTATTCGTAAAATTTATTGGGATCAAAGGGGAATTCGTTCTGGAAAACCCCGTTTTCCCACCTCGTGCCGGGCCCTGTTGATGCTCACAATGTGTGAAAATAATGAGCAGAAGACAGAGGTCACTGTTGGCCTCTTGCATGGCAACAGGTATTGCCGACCGATAAGACGGACGCATTGCTGGCCGCTCGCTCGAGCAAATGTATTGCCGGCCGCTTGCACGGTAACATTGCCTGCCGCTGGGACGGCGCTTCAGTTGTTTGCCGCACGCACGGAAGCTTTAGGATTATGTAGACCGCTTGTACGCTAGCCCTTATAGGAGGACCGCTCGCACGGCGCGAATCCCTGAGTGTGATGGTTATTATTGCAAATTTTGTACAAAGATAAACTAAAATGATCACAGACTTTGTAACCACTCACATAGCAGAATCGTACAGCATGCTTGAAATATGTTAACTTGTGGCATTTGTAGTTGACAATCTGGAAAGCGAATTCTCGTTCATGTGATTACGTGCTAAAGTCTACCAAGCTGCGAAAATTTTTTTCCCTAGTCAAAGCACGGATGTCAAAAAAATTTAGCGAAAACAAGCACTTTGGTGGGTACATGATACTTTTGTCGTTTGAAAGCAGGCTTGACAGTAGAATTGGGGACAATATCCATCTGCTTCTGTCCAGTACAACATTACAAATTTTCGTAAGTCTATGCCTAGAGTATATATCGGCAACCCAGTGCCTGTATCACCAAAGATGTGTGATAATGAACGCTCCTCTGGGTCAATCATCAGGCTACTTTTAGTAAATATAATAAAAAAAGTTACAGTAAAATGTAGGAGATACAAGGTGCCGAATGCGGTTTAAAATCAGGTTTCGTTTGACAAAGTTTTATAAGCTTTTCGTCGTCTAAATTTAGTAAAAACACTTATGTATTCCTATTCAATAGGATGCAAAGTGACGGTTATTGGAACAACTAGCTAAAAGCTGCTATCCCACGATTTATAACTGCATAAATTGTCTTCTTTTGGTTGCATTTGCATGGCAAACAAGCCTTCATATCTGTCCGTTATGATGACATACGAATAAGCTACAACATTTTCGTAAATACATAATTTTTTGAAGCACTTAGCACTGCATAAGTGAGCATTGAGCAAAATGTCAAGCATAAAAAACACTGTTGATATGATTTTTTGTATACAATTCAGACGATTTTATAACATTAGTATTCGTCCTCCCTGCTTTCGCGAACATACAGAGTGCGACAAAAGTCTGGGAGCCTAGTACTTTTTTAGGTAAAATCAGAAGGAAAGTGCCTAGGAACTAAAAATCAAGTGCACACATAAACCGGACCCTTACAGATACAGCGCTGCTTTCAAATTTTGAGATTGCTTCTTTTGGCTTCAAAGCAGCCCTTCGAAATCTTGGCGAATCCGCCTGTCGTGGCACGCAGATAGTCGCGACGAAATTCGTCCCACGCCTTTACGATAACTGTTTATTTCACCAGGCAAGTGTGCGATGTGATAGAGCAAGCTTTTGGCTACAAGTACTGCGAGGAAATTTTTCTTGCAGTGTTTAGGGAAAAATTTTAGGAAATTTTATTGAAGGTCAGTGTACTCGTATACTTGAAATATGGATGCGACTGCGCGAACGGGAGCGAAGAATCGTAATGTGAAAAGTATTAAAGTTGCTTAATGGATCGAAAAAAAGTACATGCTTGCATAGAAGACTCATGGAAAGAATATAGCTCAGAATTCAGGGCCTGCTGTGCTCCTACAGCTTTCAAATTTATTTCAAAGAAAAATGGCCACTGGCGCGCAGGTATTATTCGCAAATTTTTATTTTGCGTTTTCGAAAGAATGATATCTGACAAAAGCAACGACTACGAATTGGTAGCGCAAGGTCTCCTCTACATTGTGTGCACCGAAGTGCTCTAGAATATCCACTGTATCTTTAGCTACGAAGTAAGTTGTGAAAACCAAAAATTTCGATTTTCTCGCTTTGCAGAGCACTTGTTTGACGAATTCACTCCTACAAAAACATATGGCACGCATTTTCAGCCAGCCAAAGTGTGATTTGTAGAGGATGATCGCAGCAATATGAGGCACAAATTTGGAATCAAAATCATCAATTTCTTGATTTACAGCACTGCAAAGTAGGCTCCCAGACTTTTGCCGCACCCTGTAATAACTAATAACTTGTCCTTATAGACTTCTGTCCTTCTTTATCATTTTAATTCACTTTGTATTTCCAAGACGTAAGATTTTTTTGACTCACATGATTCTATGCATTGAAGCAAGAGCTAAACTTTTTAAGGAGAGTATGAGAGAGAAACTTCAAAAGCGCTGTGTTTACATAATACATCATTCCTGAGAGGCACGATTTCGTCCCATTTTTTTTTTTTGAACACAAAAGACTGTGAGGCCATTCGCTGTTGTTCCGTGATAAGTGCCACTGAACAGGTATCTCTATACAATAAAGCAAGCAATGACTCATGCGTACGGCGTATGTCCACTCGATCATACCCCCCCCCCCCCTTTCTTACCCCATATCAGCGATGACGGCACGTAAAAAACAGTCGGGAGTCGTTGCCATTTGGAAACCAAAGATGAGTTTTTTTCGAGAAGTTGCTAATAACCCGAAAGAGATGTTTTTGTCATGGACAAGGTTCGAAGAGTGTTTTGCATATTGTCCCAATGACGACTACCTCAATCGCTAAACGAGTTGATACCGCAATTTCGCCCTCATTAGAAAAAAATCAGCAGATTTTCACGGTTAGTCATTTCCGAATTAACAGCTTTTGCTTATTTTGTTTTGTTCATTTTTACATTTGATGTCACTCTATAGCAAAAAAGCTGCTTTTGAAGCATCTACTCTTTTTTTCTTCACAAAATCTGTGTCGTGTAGTTTTATGCTATAGCGCTCCAGGAGAAATTGTCGCTGCGCCTTTTTCAAGCATCTCATTCTTCTGCTTTCACCATATTCTTTTAGTTTGAGCCAATTCTTATGCAGGCAATCAAAATGATAATCAACCTTTTAAAGGCAGTGGGTCGGCAGAATGAGATCCGTGGCAAAACAAGGTCACAGAGAGGAGCCCCCATAATGGAACCTATGGGCCAAAGTTCGATCTTTCTCTGCCACTTTTAACCCCGAAATTTCAAATCAAAAGTAGCGCTCAATTTTCAGGTAATAATTTTTTTTCGATTTTGGCTTCAAATTTTACATGGAATGCGACTTAGGCGGATGCTTGGTGATCATTTTGCAGAGTTTGCTTCGCTCTATCGGATGGTGCCCCAAGTCTGCCAGGAAAACAAAGACATTTTGATTTATTTAGAAATACGGTTTACTTACAACCTTTCAAAAAACGGCCTGTCTGCCAGATCATCGTATCTAACTCTTCAAAGAATATGCAGTAGAAACGTATTGCGCTGCATGTGGATACAAATAGCGTATTCCTGCTTGAGGGAATTATCATGTAGGTTACGAATTGTTTACAAAACCTGTTCAGATGTGTGCATTTTTTCCTTCCTAAAACCTGCATGTGCTATAATTATGCAATTTCGAAATAAAATTTTCTTTGAAGATGGCATGTTTCCAACCAGAAAATTTGAAAGAAAAGTACTTTTGGAGATAATGCATTTTTCTTTCGAAGCAGGCGAAGGCGGGGCTTCGAGGCCTAGTCAACGCTAGAGAATGATAGGGAGCACACTCGCGAGAGAGACGAAGACTGCGTTGCGGGTGTGAGCGGTCGCCTTCCAACCGTCAATTCCGTTGAATCAAAGGGTAACTGAATTGTCCTACATAAAAAATACGAGTTAGCTCGCAATGCAGTCACTGAAAAGAATTTTCTTAACTATGTATAAGTGATAATTTTATCAGTTTTATTTGAAAAGCGGAGTTCAAAAAACATGGCTAATATCTTGACCCACCTCCAGTATTAATAAAAAAGACAGGTTCTGTGCATTTGGTCGATAATGATTGCAAACTCAATAAAACTGGGAAAAACGTTTTGCTGTTTTCATGATGGAAACATCTGAGATTAAGAACCACAATATCAATTTCCAATGCAATCTCCAGTAATTGCCGGTCTCAAAGTTCTTCTAGTCCGCTTACGCAAATAAACGGAGCAAACAATTTCCAGATTCTGCAAATTTTTGGTTCGATTAGGTTTACTCGTCAGTGAACCAAGTTTAATTTATATACAATGGCATTATTATCTCTATAAATATAAAGCAGAAAATCTGTGTGTCTGTGCACATTTCCCATAGTCACGAAGGGAAAGCAGTGAAGCTTATTTTCTCATTTCAATCTGCTATCCATCAAGATTTAGTAAGGACAGTGGGAAGCGAACCCAAAACGGGTGAATCGAGATAAGTGTAAGTTTCATATCACTCTACAGTCTGCCCCAATCGGGATCAGGCCGAACCGCCGGCTGAATTTGCGCGATCGCAGCGCTAGAGGATGCGCTGCATACGCGCGCTGTCGCCGAGAGTGAAGAGATCGAGGAGAGAGCAGACTAGCTAGCCGCAAATGTGGCGCGAAACCCTCGCGGCGCGGACTCCCGCCATGCCGAATTTGGCCTGGTTAGGATTGGGGCAGACTGTATATATGAAGCAGAAAATCTGTGTGTCTGTGCATATTTCCTATGGTCATGAAGGGTAAGCAGTGAAGCTCATTTTCTCATTTTAATCTGCTATCCCATAGCTATCCATCAAGGTATGGTAAGGACAGTGGGAAGCGAACCCGAAACGGGTGAGTCGAGATAAGTGTACGTTTCACCTTTCTAAAACTTGAAAGAAAACACAAAGCTCCTTGTTGTCTCAAGTCAACATTGAAGAACAGAAAATCCAGACGATGGTTCTTTTCAATTATCTGTCTAAGTTTGAAGTCTTGAGGGGTCGCTAACTATGTAACTAAACCCGCCTGCGCACAATTGACAATTAAGCGTTATATTTAGTAATCCGAAGGGAACTTCTTAACTTACGAGTAATACTTTGCGAGATTTGGTGGAAAGCCTGGGAATATAAAAGTGATGCTGAGAGGAGGGCCAAAAAACAGGAGAAACATCTCTCTGCACCTTTGCAAAAGGTCACTGAAGAGAAATAAGTAATGGAAGAGCAGAGAATGGGTTGAAGGATTACGTCACTCATGAGTTTGCTTACATTCTCACGGCATTTAACCAAACTTCAGAAGTAGGGGAAGATTGTGATACTCGTATTTTGAAGAGAGCAGTCAAAAGTTGTGGGCTATTTGTTGGAAGAACTATTGGGAGAACAAATAAGGAACTCACTGAGAAAGGCTTTCAGAGCAGCAGAAAGAGGGGAAGGGGGGAGGGGATGCAATCCGGCAAAACAGCTTTCTAATTACTTTCGAAAAGTTGACCTCTTGAAGACTAAGGCCCTTATGCACGTACATCCTCGCGGGGAGGGAAGGGGATCTGAGAGGGGAAGCGTCATATCTCGCTAGTCTATGTATCTTTCTTCTTCTTTCTCTGTCTTGCTTTCTAAGGTTCTCATACACTGATACTTGCGCGTAACGGATGCCAGGTTACTGCCATACAAGATTAGATATTTACTATTTCGTTTGATCCCCTGGGGATTTCCAGGGGATCACTTCACATTTTCAAAGTCATTTATTTTCCTGAAAACTCAATGAAAATGCTCTAAAATTGTACTGAGGATATACTACAGCACTGCTAAACATGTTTATGGTAGAAGCGAGTGAAATCTTAAGATATCAAAGTCTTCGATGAACCGCTGCTCGCGAACCAGGGATTATCGAAAAAGTCAAAATCTTCAGATTCCATTTTTTCTGTCGAAAACATGCTCAGCAGTATCGTATTATATCTTCAGCGCAATTTTGCAGCGTTTTTATTAACTTTTCAGAATGATAGATGACTTTGAAAGTGTGAGGTGATCCCCTGGGGATCCCCAGGGGATCAGACGATATAGTGATTATTTAGGGCCGCATGCACTAACAGGGGAGCTGGGGAGGGGATCGCCGCTTCAGAAGAAAGCTTCATATCTTGAAGCTCCGAATTTGTGGATTTCACGCTGTCTATCTTTCCGTAAGTATTCCTACCATCCTTTACTATGAACATATTGAACAGGAGCAAGAAGCTGCACAGGCCGCTTTTCCAGCTTTTTGTACGATCCCCTGGTGATCCCCGGGGGCGACCGTCTCTTCTTTAAAATCGTTTTTCTTTTTTCGAAGTCAATGAAAAGCTTCCGAAGTTGTGCAATTTATCTAACAGAACAGTGCTAAGCATGTTGCTGATGAGAACAAACGAGTTTCTGAAAAATCGAATTTTTTGATAAACCCCAAATTTCGACCTGTGGTTTATCGAAAATTTCATGACTTTGAAACATTAATTGTTCTTACCAGAAATGTGAATAGCACTGTTGGGTTAGATGAGCAGTACAACTTTGGAATGTTTTACTTAACTTTGAAGAATGAAAAATGAATTTAAAGAAGAGACGGTTGTCCCCCGGGGATCACCAGGGGATCGCACAAAAAAACTCTAAAAATTCGCTTGTTCAGCTTCCCGCTCCTGTTCTGTATGTTCATAGTGAAGGATGGTAGGAATACTTACGAACAGGTACACAGTGTGAAATCCAGAAGTTCGGAGCTTCAGGATATGAAGCTTTCTTTTAAGCTGCGATCCCCTCCCCAGCTTCCCTGTTAGTGCATGCGGCCCTTAATCTTGTATGACATCAAGCTGGCATCCATTATGTGCAGGTATCAGTGTATGAGAAACTTCATAAGCAAGATAGAGAAAGACGGAGAAAGATATGTAGAATAGCGAGATATGCCGCTTCCCCTCTCAGATCCCCCCCCCCCCCTCCCCACGGGGATGTACGTGCATACGGGCCTAAGAGAATACCAATAGATGCTCGCTGCGCACAGTTTCTGTCATTTTGAGCATTGCGGGCTAAGTCGCCACCTCCTCAAAAACAAATACCGAATGTACTCCATTTCTTGCATTCAGTTTTATATCGTCGTATGATGCCTTCGATGACACCTTTAGAGTGCGAGCAAAGCTGTGTTATATGTGTGTTAGGAGCTCCGATCTCGCAACGATTACGGAGACTTCAATTATCGGCCGACCTCATTACCAGCAAACATTTGAGGATCATAAACTCACACTTTCAACAAGAAAAGATTCTCTACAAAACTTTGACACACATCCCACTTCACACACGCCAGGCCAAAGTGCCGAAGTGGCAAGTAATATGTAAATTAATGCGCAGGGTTAGCAAGCAGAAAAGTGTACAGACAATAAGCTTCTTGTACGGATGCTCATATATCATGATTCGAGCGGCAGCTTACATAGTTGAGAATAGCCAAACGATTGTAACTTTCTCCACCAAAACAAACTCTTTGCCAGCGGAGTCAGAATATTATATTTGGTAGTTGATGTCTCCACTCGTGAACACCAGCACAGTACTGAACTATAAAGAAGTAAAGTGCAGAACACATCATTGTTGATGCTAAATCATAATTGAGGAGTGAATGCGTTTGACAATTCAGAAAAATTTAACTTCAAACATATCAGCTATTTTTCTTTCTTTAAATGGACATATTGTAGATGTTGTGCTTTTGTAGGCTAACAAAATCAACAGTTCTCAGCAAAAAATAGTCAATAATATGATTCTCAACGGCGCACAACCTTTTGACACATTGATGTCAATCTCAACCTGTTTTTCCAAACGACAGCAGCTTATTCCCAGAAAAGTTATCAAAGAAATGGCCTAATATACCCCTCAAGATGGAAACAAGCAAGACTGTGTTTGCGAGAAAGTTCTGGTTGGTAGCAAACCTGTCGAAATGCGCAGCTCAAACTCAGAGTTCACTCAGAGTTACCTCCGAGATAACACGCACCTTTCAAGGACCATTAACACCTGCATAAAGAAGCGAAATTGGGGAGAGGGTGATATGGCAGGATAGACTTAAATACCAAGTATGAAAATACAGCGTAACCCGCTTCACGGAGAGGAAGCGCGCAGCTTAGCTGCGCGTTAACTCTGACTTTCTGTCTCAGCCTCGCTTGAAACTCGGAGTTAACTCTAAGTTCGGTTAGAGAAAGAGAAATATGTGTCTTTGAAGAGATACAGCTAAAAAGTCCTCCGGGATAGATTTTGCTCCGAGTTTCAGCAAGCATGATAGGGGTATCATGGTACACTGTCGAACACAAAAATTTGAAATTTTCTAAAATTTTGGCCCCGGGGGTTTTCAGACTGCTGGTCAGGAATACGATGCTCATTTTTCGCCATTCGCTCGAATAGCGATATTATGGTAGGGATACGGTAATTGGCGAAAACCACGATTTTTGTCGAAACTTGCTACACTGGGGCTATTTGGCACGCTGATCACGAATATGATGTTCATTTTATACTGTGGCTCCATTTAGCGAAGTTACTGTAGGAGTACGATAATTGGGAAAACAGTAACTTGTTGAAACTTAGTCAGCTGGGGTGGTTTGGGCGCGGATTACGGATATGCTGAATTTGCATAATAATACAATTAATGGTTTCAGCAGCCAGCCATGATCGCCTTTAAAAATCTCAGCACCTGTTTGCTGCGAAATCAAAGTCACAAAGTTAAGTTTCCATATTCTCCACAAAAACACAAGCTCCCTAAGTAGCCTTATAGGATGGTCCTTGATGCCAGAAACGGCTCCGTCAACTTGGATTTCACTGTTATTCGCATCATCTTTTCAACCATAAATAGTATACCAGCATTGTGTAACGTATTGAGTTGTTTTAAAAGTTCTACCTGTTTTCAAACTTTGACTTTGATTCACCGTAACTCTTCTCAGAAGTCATCTTTGCAATTGCTATAAACTGTACTACAATCTGCAAATCTTTGGCTATTAGCGCATTCTTTAAGATTATTGCAGTAACAGTGGAGGAGATTTTATAGGCAAAAATAGAGGAACACCTCCTTATAGAAACCTTCACTTTGCAAAAGCATAACTTGATTTGGAATATAGCTGAGTTGCTAAGCACTGATCATAGTGTAGCCCATAATCGACTGAACAGTACCGCTAACTTTGGATTTCATCAAACTCTTAAAAATTTTGTGCTCAAAAATTGGAAAGGACCCACTTATTTAGCTCTTTCTAGGACGGCAAAAAATGCAATTTTTTGACATTTTTAATTTTCTTCGCCGTTGACAAACCAGGAAATCTTTTCGTTTTTCTGGTGGCAGTTGTTCTAGCTCCAATCTTACTATATAGAATAAAAGTTCCGCGATTGCAATATGTTTATGATTTTTATGCGCCTTGAAGAGACCACAATGACGTGACGGTTATGTTTGAGCTAAAATTTTGTAAGTTCAAAATTTTCTGAAATCATATCTCGATGAGCGTTTCGTAGCAAAAGTCTCCAGCAAACGTTATGTATGTTTTAAGAAAAATTTTTTTCTTTTGGCTGTAGATTTCACGGCGATAGAACAAAGACAAAAATTTTCACTTTGTTTCGCTGTCCTTTCAAAGTATGCAACCACATAGCAAACAAAGATCTATGAAAACGAAAATATGCCTAAAAAACTAGAAGAAAAGAGCTTTTGAATATTATAAGCAGTGTTTATAAAAAATGGTTTCTTCTCCCAAAATTGGCAGTTCACTTACTTACTTAGATACTTAGATGGCCCGGCTTCACGTGACGTGCGGGCCCCAGCTCAGAAGTTTCCATTTTTCCCTGTCCCTCGCTTCTGACATCCACGATCTTCTTGGCTGACGTCGGTGGCTGCGTCCACGAGTTCCAGGTGCAAAAATCGTATCCAGCTGATTTCTCAGCTGGTCCATCCGTTCCACGAACACGTCTGCCCATCTCGTTGGAGGTCTTCCTCGGGGACGTTTGGCTTCGCGAGGAATCCACTCCGATGTTCTTAGTGTCCATCTGTCGTCTGTTCTTCTCATTATGTGACCGGCCCATCGGTGTTTGGCTTTCGCGACGTATTCCGCTGGGTCACGAAGACGGGACATTCTTCTCATATCCGTGCTGCGAAGTCCGACTAGATGTTGCTTGCGTCGGGTCATCTTCAGAAGACTGCGCTCGAGCGCTCTGTGGGTGGTCCGTAGAGCTTTCGACGTGGCTACAGTGTCGGCCCAAGTCTCAGCTGCGTAACAGAGCGCCGGGAGAACGGTTGAGTCGAACAGGTGGGCACGAAGCTCCGGGTCCGTCAGTTGGTCGGTGGCTTCCTTCAGGGGCCCGAAGGCGGCCCAGGCTGCTCTTCTTCTCCTGTTGAGTTCTTCCCTCAAGTCGTTCTCCATGTTCATCGAACGTCCGAGATACACGTAGGAAGACGTCTCCATAATCGGGGTGCCTTCCAATTCCATTTCTGCATCTTCGCAAAGGGCGTTCTTCATGAACTGAGTCTTCT